GGGGGATGAAGAGAGGAAGTGGGTGGGATATAGAGAGGAACTGGTGGAGGGCAGGGAGAGAAAGTGGGTGGGGGATGGAGAGATAAAGTTGGTGCTTGAGAAGTTGCCGGAAGTGGAGAGAGGAAGTGGCTGCATTTGGAACAGGAACTTGGTGGGAGTTGGGAAAAGGAGAGCACATAACCTCCGACAATTCTGCTCACACCGGAATAGCTGTTTTTGGTTTTAGTTTTTGGGTTTTGAAGGTGTTTGTTTTCATTGCTCTGGACAGGGGGCAGAGAGCTTCTTCGTAGTGAATTTTGTTTTTGGGTTTTGGTTTTTTAAATTTTTTTAATGTTTTATTTATTTTTGAGAGAGAGCGGGAGAGAGAAAGAGCAAGCAAGCAAACAGGTGAGGGGCAGAGAGAGAGGGAGACACAGAATCCGAAGCAGATTCCAGGCTCTGAGCTGTCAGCACAGAGCCTGACGTGGGGCTTGAACTCACCAACTGAGATCATGACCTGAGCCTACGTCAGACACTTAACTGACTGAGCCACCGACGCACCATGAATTTTGTTTTCTTTAAGTCACATCTTTGTTTTTATGAGTAACATGTGACTACTTACAAAATACTCTTTTGGTATCATCGTACTTTGCAATTTCAATAGAGCCTTCGGTTTTCTCAAAGTGAAGACGGCACAGTGCCCTTGGGTGAATGTGTGTAGACACATCCGAGTAGGTTGCAGATTTTGTTCCCAAAACTGCTCCAGGAGGACGCCACTGGCATCTCTCAGGGCAGGTCTTCTTTTTTTTTTGGATACTACTGCTGATGGAAGCCTGGAAGACCCTGGGCCATGTGATTCCCCAGAGACTGCCTGGGGCAGGGGGTGGGGGTGGGCGCTCACCCACATTTCAGGTAAGCAGCTCTCCCTCACCTGCCAAGTCCCACCTTCTCCTCCACGAAGCCTTTCCTGGTTGCCCAGGAACCATCCTGAGTTAGCCATGTGTCCTGTGGTGTCTTTTCGGTTCAAAGTCCTGTCTGTTCAGGGGCGCCTGGGTGGCGCAGTCGGTTAAGCGTCCGACTTCAGCCAGGTCACGATCTCGCGGTCCGTGGGTTCGAGCCCCGCGTCAGGCTCTGGGCTGATGGCTCAGAGCCTGGAGCCTGTTTCCGATTCTGTGTCTCCCTCTCTCTCTGCCCCTCCCCCGTTCATGCTCTGTCTCTCTCTGTCCCAAAAATAAATAAACGTTGAAAAAAAAAATTTTTTTTTTAAAAATTAAAAAAAAAAAAAAAACAAAGTCCTGTCTGTTCAGCTAGATTTCAAGTCCCAGGAGGGCAGACACTGCCTTGTACTTTTATTACCTGAGACCTTGGCAGAAGTCACTAAAAATACTTGCCAGACGTATCCTCCGGGTGACAGTCTGTGTGTCCGAGGGGTCTATGGCATCCAGGCACTTTGCTAAAGCTCAGGCGGCAAGAGGTGGGGACTAAGGACGCAGAAGGTTGAGGAGCTGGAGTGGAGACCCCTCCCTCTGCAGAAGGACCTTCTGAGCGAGCGTCGGGGCCTCGGCTCCCTTTCTGTCTCACAGATACTCACTCTCTCTGCCTTGACCTCACCGTCAAATCTCAGTCTGGACCTGGACACCCTTGGTAGGAAGTGCTCAGTGGACAAAAAGTCCGTCATTCAGTATGACGGTGACAGCAGCGAGGTCAGACCTTCGGTTGTCTCTGGATCATGAGAGAGCAGCGATGTTGGACCAACAACATTGCCAGTCTTGGTGGCAAAAACTGTCATTGAGGACAGTCTGGCTGTCAAACGAAGTCTTCCAGCGCAGGTGGCTTTGCTAAGAAGCTAATGAAGCTTCGGCTTCAGAACCTTCCTTTGCTCTGGTTCCTCCCATAGCCCTCGAAGGAGCTTTACAACGTGTTGACTTGGTCATGTTGAAAAATTTGCAAAAGTAATATATTTGCTGACAATTGATTAGAGGCCTGACAGTTTTACTCTGACACCCTTTCCCTTAGACTTCCCTCCGTGTCAGGTGGAATTGGTGGCATTTTTTTGGTTTCAGTTAAGAGGAAAATGAGGGATCTACATATATATATATATAGTTAATTAGTTAGTGAGGTATTTTATATAGTAACGGTTACCTTTCTATACAACGGAAGTCATTGCTATTGATTTGTGGCCAGAATTGTGTGTCCTCACATTCATATGTTAAAGCCGTAACTCCCCAGTGTCTTATAATGTGATTCTATTTAGAGATAAGGCCTTTAGAAACATAATTACATTAAAATGAGGTCATTAGGGTGTAGTCCTGATCCAACCTGCCTGTGC